GGCAGTCGCACTCGCGACCACTTTACGTTTCAAAAGTACCAAATTATGGTTTAATTGAAATAAATGCTTTTGAGTTTGAGTTTGAGTGCGGGGTCGAAACCTGGCAAGTACCAATGTTAACTAAAATTGCGGGTTACTCACGTGAATATACTGGAAAAAGCTCTCCTAATTTCGAACCACAGAGGGTTTCTTCCTCATGAGCAGCGTGCGCAGTCGCGGCGATGTCGCGCAGCTCAGTGAGTAACCCGCGATTTTATTTAATTTAGTATGTCTCACGATAGTTATTATAAAAACAAGTACTGATGTGACTTTTTCTGAGTTATAATTGTACTTTCTAAGACTGCCTCATTGGCCCAGTGGTCGCAAGTGCGACTGCCGGGCAAGGGGTCTCGGGTTCAATTCCCGGGTCGGGCAAAGTATTACTGGGTTTTTTAAAAAAAAATCACAGTAGTAGCACGGAGTCTGGAAATGTGCCCGGTATATGGCAATAGGCTCACCCCCTATTACATGGGACTCAACATAAATAATGAAAAGTGGGTGTTACATTGTAGTGGCATAATGTACACCTCTGCCTATCCCTTCGGAAAAAAATGCGTGATGTTATGTTATTATGTTATGTCTAAGATTATTTCGATACCACGGACACACTATGAAGTAAAACATTGCAAGGAAATCCTAGCTTTAATGTCTAATAATTTTGAAGGTGCCAACCCGCATTGAGAAAGCGTGGTGATTAATGCTTTAAATTTTGTCTGTGTGAGAGGCTTAGTCAGCAGTGACAACTACTGGCTGTTGGTGATGATGATGAAGTAAATATTCTAATTTCCAGGGTCTAGAACCAGAATCTCTATTTTTCCGTGACGGGAGAAGAAGAATAGACATGGTGTTGGCGTATGAAGAAGAAGATTATGGAGTTATGACAGAGAATGAAGCGAGAAAGAGAGAGTACAGGAGAACATTCCAAGTAAGTAGAATGAAAGAGAACTATGCTTTTTATGCCCAAAATGTACCTGTATTTTTTTTTATGGCATAAGCCTGTAAACGTGCAGACGGATCACCTGATGGTAAGCAATCGGTGTCACCCATGGACACCTGGGACACCAGAGGCGTTACAAGTGCGTCACCGGCTTTTTGGGGATTAGGAGTTTGAAGATCGTTGGGGATTCAGGGATTGGGGAGATTGCGGAAGGGGAAGGTAATTGGGCCTCCGGTAACCTCACTCACACGACGAAACACAACGCAAGCGTTGCTTCACGTCGGTTTTCTGCTCGGCCGTGGTATCACTCTGGTCGAGCCGGCCCATTCGTGCCGAAGCATGGCTCTCCCACACTTACATTTAATGATTTCACTCAACTCAACTCAACTCAAACTCTTTATTTGCATGTTAAGGTAATACATACAGGTCTTATGAAATAACAGGCACAGCTTAACGGCCTTTATCAGGCGTTGCAAATTTTCAAATTAAATGAACTAATTTTAACTTTTGTAACGCGGTAAATCGATTTTGGTTTGTGTCGGACGCGCGCGTTGAAAAATGAACTTTATTTAGACAAAGATACAGCGTAATTGTGAATGAAATATTCTAAAATATATTGATCTTATATACTAATTATTGCTAAATTGTTACTATTGATTTGCATTTGTGCCCTGGGTAATTAATTAATATTGCTGATTAGCAATGGAAGGTCTAGAGAGGGGAAGTGCTGACAAAGCTATTGATTTGGCATGTGTGTCCTAGATAGTAACAAATATTGATTAGTCATGGAAGTGTCTAGAGCCTAGTGAGGGGAAGTGCTGACAAAGCAAATGTCGGTGGATTGGGATTCTTTAACTCGCACTACTCTAGACCGTTCGACGCTTGCGTGGAAGCGTATCATAACAACGAGTCCCGCGCCGAAGCCGTGACGCACGGGCTCAGTATTTGTACCGCGAAATATTCTGAGTTCTCGTAATATTGTGCAATTTTGTTTATGTTTAGTTAGAAAGTTTAATCTAATATACATATACAGTTTTATAGTCATTCGTGTGTCGAACTTTGTTTATTTCACGGCCGTGAGAACCCACTAAGACAACTCTAAGTTATTAAACTTCACTACATAGTATAACACCCCCTATTACATGGGATTCATAACATAAATAGTGAAAAGTGGGTGTCACTTCTGTGTGCACCCCTGCCTACCCCTTCGGGGATAAAAGGCGTGATGTTGTGTTATATAGTATAACACTATCTATAACTATAGTTGCTATTCGCCGTCTGTCTGTCCCTATGTATGCTTAGGGGGCCAATTCTCGATTTTCGCCATTTATCTCGAGTTCGACATTGTAAGTCTATCTCTATGTCTATCAAAAATATCTCTATCTCTACCAAAAAATGTCGAATTGCACAGAAATCCGTATTCTCAGTCAAAATAGAAACAAATGTCACGAAAATGTCGAGTCGAGTGAAGATAATGTTACCATTATGCAGAATCGCACGTTCCATTTTAGGTAGTTATGAGTGAATGAATGATTTTGTCATAAAACGTTCACTAAACCTAATTATTTAAGTTAAAACGGAACGTTTAGTGCAAAAATAATCAGTTTGATAGTTGACTGTCTGTCAGTGTCATAATTTGCATTTTTTTTCGGTTGTTTCAAAACTTTTGTGTTTACAATATTTACATAACTCACTAGTGGGTTGTGCTGTTTTATATGTGATAATTTTGTATTTTAACATGGAGGGGAAAAAATACCCCAGTCCACAACAAAAACAATTACTCGTTCAACTCATTGAAGCAGACATGGAATTGAGGGGAGGTAAATTCTCCTACAGTTTCTCAAAGAAGAAGATGCCATCGTTAAACAGTTAAAATATGCTGTGGCCGGTGCCAAAAAATCTTGGGTTGGTTGGCGCGAAGTAAGTACAATGGTTACCGACTCACTTATCTTCCTTTCTAGATGACTCAACCGTTTTAATACTTATTTTTCATAACTTACAATCACCGCAATGTTTTCCAATTCTCTACTTGTCAGTAATTTATTTATTTTTGTATATGATTTCATTGTCCACGTATATAATATGTTGGTACTAACATAATAAATTTATTTCAGAGTCGGCAAGACAAAAGCAAAAATAAAACAAAAATTAGCTACAATTAGAAGACAATCTATGTTGACTGGTAGAGGTCCACCACCAGAACAATGAAATGAAAAGGAACAATTGGTGCTTGCCAAATTTTGTACAGCTGCACTTGTTGGCCACATAGATGCCCTTGGTAAAACTTATGTTTTTCTGAATTTTCTAGTTCCCATACTGCTATTATTATATAATTATATTGCAATTAGAGTGACTTTTTGTTTCTTTTTTTCAGATTTAGCCACACCGAGTACTGCAAAAGTCGGCATGTATATGGCTGCTCAAGAGACCTCTGGATCTCGAGGCAATTCTACTTTCAGTACTATTTGATGATTTTAATTGCATAGACGAGTTAATGATCAAGAAACTGTTTACAATCGATTTAATTGTAAAAATCCTGATCTTGGTTTACATTTAAAGTTATTTTTTAAAGAATATAATAATAATTATTATTATTATGAGAAAGATTAAGCTGTGATTTTATAATTAGTCTGCTAAAACTCTACCTCTAAGTTATGTGATTATGTAGAGGTACATACATGCACCCAAATGATTGTTAAATATTTACATTTATGCCGTAATGATTGTTTTTTATTTAGATTATTATTGTTTAAACGACTGTACTGCTGTGATTTTATAATTAGTCTGTTAAAAGTCTGCATTATGTACTTACATATACACAAATGATTTAAAAATCATTGTTCATTATTTACATTATTCTGCCATCATTATTGTTATATAGATGTAAAGTTTATTTGTTAATTTTCTGAGATTAATATTGTTTAAATGACTGTACTGTGATTGTGTAATTAGTCTAACTTTATAATGAAAAAGTGTGTCACTGAGGTTATGAAATTTGACAGACTTTGATACTTTAACGAGTAGCTGTTTTAACATTCTTTTACAAAGTGTAATAACTACTAGTGTAATAATAACTATAAACTTATTGAATGTTTACCATATCTTTTTTTAAATTAGTAATGTATTTACTTATAAAATTAAGGTACCTAATAAATAAAACAATTTTATAAACATTTTGTGGTAATTATTAATTATATTTTGTTGTATATTTCTGCCTATATTGAAATAAATATTGCCTCCTGTTGTGGTTGGAAGGTCTATTATAATTATGCCTAACTCTCTCTCTTCAGGCATATCAGAGAATTCAAAGTTGTGGGCTATACACAAATTGTGTAATACACAGCAGTCGTTAATTATTTTAGTAGCCTTATTAGGTGTGTAATGTAACACCCTATCCTTTTTTTAAAGTATTAAAAGACACCTAAATCGGCCCTTTAGCACTCCATTACAACGCTCGATAGTGGATCGCGTTTTCTTAAACTGTCAAACACCAAGCGGACACCGGTGACCGCAACCTATTGTTCTTTAATTGTGTCTATAATGACGGTGCTCGACGAGTTAAGTGCTTCATTGTAGAGAATGCACAAATCGGAAAGTCTATACCGAATTTCCAGTAGGTATGAGATGCAAAGCCGTATTTTATTTCAAAACGAAAGAAAAAAGACACTACAATCCTAAAATCAAACGAATTCACTCAGAAATGGCGTATCTCTACAATCGATATGCCATCTCTACTGCTCAGAAGCACTCGACATGAACTCTAACGTTAGCCTTCGACAAATGTCGCATTCGACATCTCCAGAATAGCAACTTTTAAAATTTGACGAAAAAATGACGTCATTAGACATTTTTGTCGAGTTCGACATCATCTCTAAAGCCGAGAATTGGCCCCTAGATCTTTTAAAGTACGCAACGGATTTTGATGCGTTTTTTTTAATAGATGGAGTGATTCTATGGACGGTTTATATGTATAATACATGCAAATACATTTAAAATTTAAATAAAATTTTATCTTTTCTGCAGGAAAACCTAGTGAAAGAAGGTCTAGAATTAGAATTAGAAAATAAATGTTTATCCTTTGATGAAAAGACATGGTTCCTCAAGATCCACATACCGTGGAAGACAGAAATGAGGCTGGCGGAGGTGATCGGCATGAAGCTGCCTACGAGACGATTTATTACAATATCAGTAAGAGCATGGGTAAGAATATTTAGCTTTGAAAACGCACGTGCTGTTGATATTTGAGGTTTTTCCGGGGTAAGGCAAAATGGGAGTTTTTCCACTTTTTAGAGCACTTTTGCTTTCATCTTCGGAGATAAAGAAAGTAATTCTATGTAGATTGATTATAATGTTTTGCAGAGTGATGAAAAACAAGCTGAGAAGGATAAGCACTGGTATTCAAAATGGCGCCGGCGGTGGAAACAATTGTATGAATACGAACATACTAGAATTACTCCAGAACCGTCTTTCTATGGAGCCGCTGAAGAACGTGGAGCGAGACGGGAGGAAATGTTAGTATAGATTTTATATTTCAAAAATGCTTTCGATCAACGGTGAAGAAAAACATAGTGAGGAAACCTGGGCTTATGATTTTAATTATAAGTTTGAAATCGCCAACCCGCATTCGGCAAGCGTAGTGATTAATACTCTAATATTCTCCGTGTGAGAAGTGGCTTTGCTCAGTAGTGGGCATTTATTAGCTGTTGATGATGATGAAGAAATGCTTTCAAAATAAATACCATTATTTTTTTTTGACAGATTCCTAGTCAAAGACCGGCACACACAGTTCTCGCCTGCACAGAGAAGTCTACTAGTCATGCAAATATTACTACGAGCTAAATATGATAACAACGAAACTAAGGTAAGTTCTCAGTTCCAGGAGCGTCCATCTCTATTAGATATATTCAGAGAGTGCACTTTTAACGCTACTTCTCAACAGTTTCGGGGTCGCGTGTAGTCTGTACGCAGTTTTACGTAGTTGTCGTGCTGATTTAGGGAACAACCCTGAGGGGAAGTAGTATTGCTTGCATAAACATACATAAAACCATAACATCACGCCTTTTATCCCCGAAGGGGTAGACAGAGGTGCACACAGAAGTAACGCTACTGTACAATATAACACCCACTTTTCACAATTTATGTTATGAGTCCCATGTAATAGGGGGTGAGCCTATTGCCATATACCGGGCACATTTCCAGACTCCGTGCTACTACTGAGAATTTTTTAAAAACCCAGTAATACTTTGCCCGACCCGGGAATCGAACCCGAGACCCCTTGCCCAGCAGTCGCACTTGCGACCACTCGGCCAACGAGGCAGTCCCTATTGCTTGCAGTATTCCAAAAACGGAAATAAGCGGATAGCCGTTAGAGTAATCAGAAGTTACTACACTCTCCTACGGCAGAATTGACTTCAGCGCTTTGCCGCTTTCGCTATCCCTTAGGATACCAAAAACTGTTTGTGCCTGACGCTCAAGTTGGTTTAAGATAGCTTCTCATGCATGAGGGTTCGACAAATCTTGGTGAAAACTGGGCTTATAACTTCTAATGATAAGGTTGAAATTGCCAATCCACATTGAGCAAGCGTGATGATTAATGCTTAACCCTTATCCGTGTGAGAAGAGGCCTTTGGTCAGCAGTGGCCACTTATAGACTGATGATGATGAAGTAAGCACGCTTTATCGCTGGCCTCAATACCACAAAGGATGTCAGTCCAGTAACCATAAAAGTTGTTAGTGGTCCCGTGTGACGCAGGTGCTCTGGGACATGGGTCTTATGCCGAATAACCAGAGCCGAGCCAAACGCTTGATACTTACGGCATCCATTTTTTTTATGGCATAAGCCGGTAAACGAGCAGACGGATCACCTGATGGTAAGCAATCGGTGTCGCCCATGGACATCTGGAACACCAGAGGCGTTACAAGTGCGTTGCCGGCCTTTTGTGGATTGGGAGTTTGGGGATCGTTTTGGGATTCAGGGATTGGGGAGATTGTGGAAGGGGAGGGTAATGAGGTCTCCGGCAACCTCACACGACGAAACACAACGCAAGCGTTGATTCACGTCGGTTTTCTGCTCGGCCGTGGTATCACTCCGGTCGAGCTGGCCACTTCGTGCCGAAGCATGGCTCTCCCACATTTCTTATATTTTTCATTCATAATATTGCAGATGGGAATCCGACGTCTCTTAAACGATGGAACTTACACAGCGTGCTTCCCACTGCACGAAGGCAGATATGAAGTTAACATGTCAGATGGGACCGTTACTGATAGAAGAGTAAGTAGTTATATCATATTCAGGTATAGGTTATTATTAGGACCTTGTGGAATCTAAAACACCGTGCGTTTAGGCGCTTTTGCCATACCTATTATTGGAAGCAAGTATAACAGCTCACACATAGGACCCACTTAGTTTTTAGTCAAATTTCCGTGGTGCTTGGCGATTGGGCTTCTCCCAGTTGTACAGTCTCTTTTTATGCCTTTAAGCTTAATTCATTCTCCTGCAGTAATTTACCGAGGGTAGTGGAAACTATCGTTATTGTTTCTTCTCTTATTATATCTTCTGATTAATTTCGTTGCGGAAACCAAGACAGTTATTCATGTCCCTGGGACGCGCTGGACTTCAATGTTCTGGTGTTTTCATGGTTGAAGCTACTGTAGATCTTGGGTTATAGGAGTTGCAGCGGTTTTGGGAGGTTGTGGCGGAATTGTACCATTAATAATAGATAGGCCAGAACACAAGCAGTCACATCAACTCGTGGTATGCAATCAGCACCGCCCATGGACACCCGCAACATCAGAAGAGTTAGAAGTGTGTTGCTGGATTTTAAGGGGAACCGAGTCCCCTTGCCCAGCAATCGCACTTGCGACCAATCAGCCAACGGCACAGTACATTATTTATTATATTATTTTAAATATTTTGTCACTTACAGCTATTATATCTAGAATGGGCTCGTCCAGCAAAATGGTATAAGAAGCAACCTCTTTGGCTAGTCCGAAGGTATTTCGGTGATAAGATCGGCCTCTATTTCTGCTGGTTGGGGTTCTACACAAAGATGCTGTATGCCCCAGCTATAGTTGGCACCCTCTGCTTTCTATACGGATTGGCTAGCATGGATTCTGAAGATAATATTCCTAGGTAAGTTTCTTTTTTTTTTAAATTACGTTATCCCACCTTAGGATTTTCTCCTGTGTCGTGGGTGCGTTTACAAACATACAAGTTTACACACACAATGACACCCAGACCCGAAACAACAATTTGTGGATCACACAAAGTGTTGTTCCGTGCGGGAATCGAACCCGCGACACGTTGCACGGCAGCCGACTGCCCAGCCACCGCACCAACCGTGCAGGCAATTGCAGTTAGTTACATTATCTTTATAACATTTGACTATTATTTTTGGAGCTTGTGAACTCTTGACTATTTTTGGAGCTGTGAAAAAAGAGAACATGCTTTTTTATGGGATACGCCGATAAGCGAGGCGACGGATCACCTGATGATAAGCAATCCCCGTCGCCCATGGGCACCTGAAACACAAGATCTGTTACAAGTGCGTTACCGGCCTTTTGGGGATCAGGAATTTGAAGATTATTGGGGATTCAAGGATTGGGGAGATTGGGGTATTGGGTGGTCATTGAGCCTCCGGTAACCTCACTCACACAACGAAACACAACGCAAGCGTTGTTTCTCATCGGTTTTCTGTGAGGCCGTGTCGTACGTGCCGTCTATCGCTGCGGTCGAGCCGAGCCGGCCCATTCGTGACGAAGCATGGCTCTCCCACAAAGGTCTATTCTTAACAACTTGCCGCGGAAAACCTAACAGGTTACCGGGGCGCCGGCTCGACGTGCAGGAGAAGGAACGGGGTGGTTTTTGGTCAGTAAGAGTCTGACACTCCCTCCCGCCTCACTCAGGCGGGAGCAGTCTGTTGGACCCGATACTCTTGTCTTGATAACTGATAATCTTGATAAATAAAACTTGTTGTTTGTAGAAATTTATTAAAACAATACTTGGTATTAAAATGACTTGTGTGCACTGTTATGGAGTGGTTTTAGAGTATTTAAAAGAAACTTGATTTATTCACTTAACTCGTCAAGTACCGTAATTATAGACACAATTATAGAACAATAGGTTGCGGTCACCGGTGACCGCTTGGTGTTTGACAGTTTAAAAGATATTTAATGTCCAAAATATAGAATAGATAACTATCCGCAATGACGTTCAAATCCACACTGACTGCAAAGCATTCCATAGGAAAAAACCCGACATAGTAAGAATGCCAACTCAGATACATGTGAGACAGATACATGTTTTGTTATACGTTGTCGTTTCTTTGTGTTTTTTTTTTCTATATCTGTATAAATAAGTTTATTTTTTTGTTATTTTTTTTTTAATTTTGTATTTTTTTTTGTATCTGTGTGCGTGCCTACTGTCGAATAAATGATTTTTCTTTCTTTCTTTCTTTCTAGATACACGTTGTGGACAAACGTGAAAGGATAGCGTTGTCATCGTTATTGTTTTATATGCTTTATGGAATTCTGATATAACAGCACACTTGTACGGTCAATCGCGAACTGAACTAAGAAGTAAAGCGTTGAATGTGCAAAGAGTAATATTGCAATTACACAAATTCATGTACTTTGTACACAGTAATTCGATGATTTTCCCCCCTTAAAAAATCTTAACATCTTATTCTCTTTTTTCCTACAGCAAGGAGATCTGTGACAGCAAAGGGCCAGGCAACACGACTCTCTGTCCGCTCTGTGACAAGGCCTGCCAATATCAGACCCTATCAGACTCCTGTCTCTTCGCCAAGCTGACCTACCTCTTCGACAACCCTGCTACCGTCTTCTTCGCCATATTCATGTCTTTTTGGGGTAAGTAGACCATTGTATAATAATAATATGGAATCAAGATGATTTAATGATTAAAATTAAAATAACATAACATACTGTAGGCTGCTCACCTATATTTCATTATTTATCACTTCATTATTCTGTACCTTCCTCATATTCATAATTTTTACTATTAGGTAGCTCACCTCTTTTGTTTAGTATTTTCTTCTTCTAATAGGCTCTGTCAATGCTTTTGTTTTCTTTTGCCATAATTTTTACAATGCAATTATGTCTTCACTATTATATTATATTTTAAACTGTCAAACACCAAGCGGTCACCGGTGACCGCAACCTATTGTCCTTTAATTGTGTCTATATTGACGGTGCTCGACGAGTAAAACAGTTTATTTTACATTTTAAATATTATTTACTTTCCGCCGCATTGGTGGACCCCAAAGTGGTAACTCCCTAAAATACTATCACGTCTTTATTCCCGAAGGGGTAGGCAAAGGTGCACATTATGACACTTAATGCTATTGTATAATGTAACACCCAGTTTTCACTATTTATGTTATGAGTCCCATGTAATAGTGGGTGAGCCTATTGCCATATACCGGGCACAATTTCAGACTTCGTGCTACTACTGAGTTTTCTTAAAAAACCCAGTAATACTTTGCCCAGTAATAATTTCGGGAGTCGAATCCGAGACTCAGCCAATGAGACAGTAAAGTTGAAAAATTAAAATAGTTGTTTTATAAACTATGGCTATAAAAATCGATTTTAACCCTCATTTTTGAACTCAGTGAAAAAATTTTAATATTCGCTTATTTTTCAGCGACAACATTCCTTGAGCTTTGGAAACGTAAGCAGTCGGTGTTACGATGGGAGTGGGATATGGGCGGTGTTGACCAGGTACTTATACTCTAACTCAGTTATGCGTAAACATTTACTGCATTTTAAATACATTGAATGCATGCAATATATGTAATAGGGGGTGCTCACCCCCTTGCCGTATACCGGACATAATTCCAAACTCCGCGCTACTACTACAAAATAAAAAAAAACTCAGTAATACTTTGCCCGACCCGGGAATCGAACCCTAAACCCCTTGCCCGTCGCGGAGAACCTAACGGGTAACCGTGGCTCCGGCTCGACGTGCAGGAGAAGGAACGGGGTGGTTTATAGTCAGTAAGAGTCTGACATTCCCTCTCGCCTCACCCGGAAGAAGTCGTTGGATGTCCATAATCATCAATACATAGTATAAAACAAAGTCGCTTTCGCTGTATGTCCGTATGTATGCTTAGATCTTTAAAACTACGCAACGGATTTTGATGCGGTTTTTTTTAATAGATACAGTGATTCTTAAGGAAGGTTTGTATGTATATATATATTGCACCCGTGCGAAGCCGGGGCGGGTCGCTAGTTTATAATAAATTACCAAATAGTTTACAAGAATTACCATTGACATTATTTAAGAAAATGCTTTTTAAACTTTTGCTATCCAAGAGTTACTGTAGTATTAAGGACTATTTATAAGGTAAGGCGATAGAATTTTGATGGTGTATAGTGTGTATATTTGATAATAATAAATTTGCACGCCATAAACATGTACCGTATTTTAGCAAATAAACATTTTTGATTTGATTTGATTTGATTTAATTTAATTTAATTTAATTTAATTTAATTTAATTTAATTTAATTTAATTTAATTTAATTTAATTTAATTTAATTTAATTTAATTTAATTTAATATAATTTAATTTAATTTAATTTAGTTTGATTTGATTTAATATGATTTGATGATTTTCCTCCCCCAAAAAAATAAATTACTAAAAAAGGTGTCCATAGAACGTGCCTCATGCTCTCATGATCTCTTGAACTCCTCTCATTATTCCAGGACGAAGATCCACGACCAGAATTCGAGGCTTCAGTTAAAACATTCCGAACCAATCCAGTGACGAGAGAGAAGGAGCCATACCTACCCAACTGGCAGAAGACAGTCAAATATGTAGCTAGCAGTTCTGCTGTGTTATTCATGGTAATTTAATATTTCACCACCACCAGACGAACGGCGCGCGGCGGGGCGCCACCCTTATATGGTGGACATTCCACCCATTCGCACGAAGCGTTTCCCGTCAAGCTTCCTCATGCGAACCGCTAAGGAATGGAATTCCTTGCCAGAGTCTGTGTTTCCCGTCAAATTTGACTTGGGTGTCTTCAAGTCCCGAGTGAACAGGTTGCTCATAGCTAGGCGTGCTCCATCATCCCTTACCATCAGGCGAGATGGTGGTCAAACGTCGACCTATAAAGTATAAAAAAAAATATCTACATCGTCAGCTTTGTCAACATTTTGGTTTCATGTTTCATGACAGAGCGAAACAAAGAGTTTTTGACCTCTTTTTATGGGAGGAGCCGTTAAGCGAGCATACAGATCACCTGATGGTAAGCAATCGGCGTCGCCCATGGATACCTGGAACACCAGAGGCGTTACAAGTGCGTTACTGGCCTTTTGGGATTAGGAATTTGAGGATTGTTGGGGACTCAGGGATTGGGAAAATTGGGGGAGGGGTATTTGGGCCTCCGGTAACCTCACTCACGCGACGAAACACAACGAAAGCGTTGTTTGATGTCGGTCTTTTGTGAGGTCGTGGTATCACTTCGGTCGAGCCGGCCCATTCGTGCCGAAGCATGGCTCTCCCACACTTCATTCATAAATAAACAAGTAATACAAAAGCACTATTCTAGACTGCACGGTTGGTGCGGTGGCTGGCTAACTGGCTGCCGCGCAACGTGTCGCGGGATCCACAAGCGCGCCTAGCTTCACTGACGGACAGACTGACAGACTATTATATATTTCATATTTGTTGACGTTTCAAAAGTACCAAATTATGGTTTAATTGAAATAAATGCTTTTGAGTTTTGAGTTTTGAAGCGTCACCGGTGACCGCTCTCCACTAACTCCATTATAGACCTTATTTCCGATGTTTAGAGACTTCTTTTGTATGAACAAATTTTCGGTACTCTATATCAACGTTTAGAATCGACAAAATGAGTTATACAAAATACTTTTTCTCCATCAGATCGCGATAGTTATGGGGGCTGTACTAGGCACCATTATCTACAGAATATCAATGGTGTCTGTTATCTACGGAGGCACGGGAATCTTCATCCAACGCCACGCCAAGATCTTCACCACCATGACTGCTGCCATCATCAATTTAATCATCATCATGATTTTGACTAGGGTAAGCAAATTTTTTATTGGTAATGGTCGTGGTCTCGTTGTCGCCCAGAGGTTTAAGACGCCCGCTTCTCATGCATGAAGGCGCGGGCTCGAAACCTACCAACGGCAAGTACCAATGTGACATTTTCCGAGTTATATGTACTTTCTAAGATTATTTAGACACCACTGACCAACGGTGCAGGAAAATGTCAGGAAACCGGGGCTTAAAATTTCTAATAGGGTAGATGACTAATTTTTATTTTAATGTCCGTCTGGTAGATTATTTTAAATCATTAAACACGTATTTTTTATTTTCTTACAGAAACGAATACTTTCCATGATATATTGATTTGAAATGTCTTATGACGTCACTTTTATGTACATTTTATCCGTAGAAATGACGTTTTAGCCCCCACTCCTAAACTTTGATTCGTTTTATCTAAGTATTGTTTTATTATACGAGAAAAAAGAAAAAATATTAATATTTTTTAAATACCTAACTTACGGACTAATTAGATTTTTAATTTTCATACCCTGTCGTCATCCCAATTATAAGGTTGAAATCGCCAACCCGCATTGAGCAAGCGTGGTGATTAATGCTCCTTCTCCGTGTGAGGCCTTTATTCAGCAGTGGGCATTTATAAGCTGTTGATGATGACCATCTCATAACATACCTCTTATTTCAGATATACGCAAAAATTGCAGTATACCTGACCAACATGGAGAATCCAAGGACACAGACGGAATACGAAGACTCTTACACCTTCAAGATATTCTTCTTCGAGTTCATGAACTTCTACTCTTCTCTCATCTACATTGCCTTCTTCAAAGTTAGTATTGTATATGTCGGAAATTATACATCGCCCTCTATCGGATTCCTGGAGAACTGATTGACTGAAGACAAGAGCGGGGATAGTTGTCTATCTCGTTCTGGCGGAACGTCTTGTGTGGAGCGTCGGCCATCTTGATCGTCTGACGGTCTTAATTCGAACAAGAAGGCGAGTTGACGTGTCACACTGACGGATCGCCTGTCTTTAATTTCAAAATAATCTATTTTAATAAATTACGTTGATTATTATAGTTCTGTTGTAGTAACTTGTTAATTATAAATAGTTCAACAAGGATTAGCGTTTGTTTCTTGAAATTCCCACGCCGCCGTCATGAGTTCCACCGATAAAGATGGCCTCGTGCCTTTATATACATCACATAATATAAACATAACATCGAGCCTTCTATCCCCGAAGAGGTAGACAGAGGTGCACACAGAAGTAACACCCACTTTTCACTATTTATGTTATGAGTCCCATGTAATAGGGGGTAAGCCTATTGCCATATACCGGGCACAATTTCAGACTCCTTGCTACTACTGAGATTTTCTTAATACGCCCAATTACATTCGGCCAACGAGGCAGTCAAATTAGTATAAACAATCAATTAGTTAAGTTTTAATTATTAAATTAACAAATAGTTGTCAGTTTATAACATTTTGTCAAGAAAGAAATCGTGAATGTATGTATTTTTAATCTTGTATAGTACTCATACCATATTAATTAATTTATTCCAAATCCTAAACGTGAGGACTTGTTATTGGCTCATTGTTGCCTACGCCTATTGCTTTTTTTATCCATTTTTATAAGCTTTAAGTCCTCCATGAATTATAAATGAATAAACAAAAAAAAAAAATATACTACGTTACAATAAAATCAACTATCTTTCCCAGGGCCGTTTCTACGACTACCCAGGCGATGATCAAGCGAGAAAATCAGAATTTTTCAAGCTCAAAGGAGACATCTGCGACCCGGCCGGCTGTCTGTCCGAGCTGTGCATACAACTGGCAATTATTATGATCGGCAAACAATTCGTCAACAATTTCGTCGAACTCGGATACCCGTACGTACGTGTGTTTGTGTACGTCTATAATTTAAGTGAAATTTTGGCTGGTTCTCACGTCCTACGGGCAACAGATACCAAAGCGAATACGGCCAATGGACCTGTCCTGTGCATTATAACTTTACTATAAGGGTAACTAGTATGGGAGAGCCATGTTTCGACACGAATGGGCCGGCTCGACCGGAGTGATACCACGGCCGAGCAGAAAACCATAGTGAAACAACTATCTAGTCGTTATCAGTTATTGGACTCAATTCTCATCCCTTCCCCAATCTCCCCAATCCCCGAATCCTCAACAATCCTCCAAAGGCTGGTAACGTATTTGTAACGCCTCTGGTGTTCCGGGTGTCCATGAGCCACGCCGATTGCTTACCATCAGGTGATCCGTCTGCTTGTTTACCGGCTTACTCATAAAAAAGGGACTGGGATGCCATCTCCTCCTATTGTGAAGCAGTCATGCTAGCTAAGGAGGAGGCGGGACGCGTGAGTGACTCCTCGCAACCCAGCCATCGCGAGACACACCGGGCGTCGGGGATCGCGGGACGATCTCCGGCCACCGGCAGCGGCCGGACGACGTACTGCGTGGGGGGCCCTCCGACCAGATACTGACGCGAGTGTACGGCGCCCAGCGTGTGGCGCGCGACACTATGAGCCTGAATCTTAAATCCACATTCCACATGTCGACAATCTCATGAGCCTCTTGCCTTATCTTCATCGTGGTGGCCTGGAGGTTCAAGACGCCCACTTCTCATGTACGAGAGTGCGGTTTCGAAACCTACCAACGGCAAGTACCAATGTGACTTTTTCCGAGTTATATGTACTTTCTAAGATTATTTAGACACCACTGACAAACGGTAAAGGAATACATCGTGAGGAAACCTGGGCTTATACCTCTAATGTTTAATTAACTCGCATTGAGCAAGCGTGGTGATAATGCTCAAACCTCCGTGTGAGAAGATACCTTTGCTCAGCAATGGCCATTTATAGGCTGTTAATGATGATGATGATGATACCTTAATCCTCAGGAAATTCCACAACTGGTGGCGACAAAGGTCTCATAGAGCGGTGACGAGGGACCTCAGTAAGCCGCACATGGCTTGGGAACAAGACTATCATTTACAAGACCCAGGGAGGCTGGCGTTGTTCGACGAGTACCTGGAGATGAGTGAGTCCACATTTACATTATCCACACACTCGCGTACCACCCACCCACTTAGTTTTTTAGTCAAATTTCCGTGGTGCTTGGCGACTGGGCTTCACCCAGTTGTACAGTCTCTTCTTTGTGCCTTTAGGCTTAATTCATTCTGTCTCCTGCTGAAATTCACCGAGGGAAGTGGGAACTATAGTTTTTTCTTCTTCTCCTCTTATAATATCTTCTGATTCACTTCGTTGCGGGAACCAAGACAGTTACTCACGTCCCTGGGATGCGTCGGACTTCAATGTTCCGGTGTTTTCATGGTTGTATCTACTGTAGATCCTGGTACAGGAGTTGCAGCGGTTTTGGGAGGTTGTGGCGGGCTTGTCCCAAAAAAAAACACACTCGCGTAACTCTATGTAGTTATTATATTACATTTAAGAATATATATTTATTACATAGTATTGCGCGTTGTTCATATCATTTTAGTATGTATCATATGTAGTCTGTAAGATCTATTGATTGTTTAATTTGTTTGTTTTTTTTTTGTTTTTCTTCTATTTTGGTTTTCTTTTATTGTGCATCTACCACGCACTCCCAGATTCTTTTCAAAAATTCCATCCAAAGGTTGTCTGGAAGAAATCGCCGCGTGTGATAAGTCCGCCCATTATACTCAAATTACTATTGCAATGTTTACATTTTTCTGTGTGTGCAATAAAGTATAAATAAATAAGTAAGTTCAAACTCAATCAACCCACTTTTCACTTCTTGCTTATTTGAATGTCCTAATCTCCCGAAGTCCTGGTAGCATACTCTTGAATCCAATTCCGATCGATCGACATTGGTATTGTGAAATTTCGTACTCTTGAGTTGCAACACTAGCGCCCATTGCATCCGTATTGCGTGGATATTTAATGAACTAAATGGTATTGAGTTTGGCTTTATATTCCGTACTCTGAATGCTATTTCAAAAGCTACGATTGTGGTTGTATAATTTTGACATTGAATAATTATTGAGATTTTATTGGATTGAAATTGCATTGAGATTGAGATTGGTTTCAAGAGTAAGCGCCCTGCATCGATTTGAATTTAAAGCATTTATTGAGGCGTTACGATTAATAGGACTCGAGTTGTGCATCAAACCGCGTGGGAGAAGCTAATAGGTTTATGACCTGACTATTCTTAAAAACTTCAATAGCACTTTGCTCGAATGACTTGTCTCAATGGCTTCATAGGCTTTTCATGGCGCGACATGTCTCTCTTTTACTAATTACGGATGAAATTATCCATATCTAAGGAAATTACTTCGAATTAAGTCGCACGATAATTTATCTATATTATATATTTGTTGGCCGAGGTCGCAAGTGCGACTGTTGAACTAGGGGTCTTGGATTCCCGGGTTGGACAGAGTATTACAGGGTTTTTTTTAAAAAAAATGACAGTAGTAGCAAGGAGTCTATAATTGTGACCGGTATATAGCAATAGACTCACCCCCTATTACATAGGATTCATAACATACTTAAATAGTGAAAAGTGAGTGTTACATTGTACAGTCTACAGTGACATTAAGAACCGTAATGTGCACCTCTGCCTACCCCTATGGGGATAAAAGGCGTGATGTTATATTATAAAATACTACTTTATTACTAATTACATTATTGTAGTTATATCTTGATATTTCAGAAAGAAAGAAGAATCGACGAAGAAGACGATATGATAAATTCACTTTTCCAATTCAATTGCAGTTCTCCAATATGGCTTCGTGACATTGTTCGTGGCAGCGTTCCCTCTCGCACCCCTGTTTGCGCTGCTCAACAATATCGCAGAGATACGACTGGACGCTTACAAAATGGTCACGCAGGCCCGCAGGCCTTTAGCTGAGAGGGTCGAAGATATTGGAGCTTGGTGAGTGATGGATGACAGAGCCGTATTATCCCTAAGACAAACGAGGCAAGTGCGCCAGGTTACAGCCCTCAGCCCGCCGCGAGAGGCTATAGAGTGGAGGCGGCGCCAAAAAAATTAAGGTCGCCTGTGAGGTGCTAGCCTTTTTTTTTAAGGGGGGAAAATCATCGAATGACTGCCCCCGCCTGGGTGAAGCGGGAGGGAGTGTCAGACTCTTACTGACTAAAAACCACCCCGTTCCTTCTCCTGCACGTCGAGCCGGAGCCCCGGTTACCCGTTAGGTTCTCCGCGACCGTTAGGTTCTCCGCGAGGGTGCTTTCTCAGTTTAATCCGCCTCTAGATGCAAGCCACACTGAAAGTAGAAGTATTTTTAATATGATTACCGGATCCTGCAAACTATATACCGTCTAAAAATTACTTCTTACCGTTTAAACTTTCCCTGGACTTCCACGAACATTGCAAAACCAAAATTAGCCAAATAGGCTCAACCGTTCTCGAGTCTTAATGAGACTAACGAATTTAAGTGTGGGAGAGCCATGCTTCGGCACGAATGGGCCGGCTCGACCGGAGTGATACCACGGCCTCACAGAAAACCGACGTGAAGCAACGCTTGCGTTGTGTTTCGTCGTGTGAGTGAGGTTACCGGAGGCCCAATTACCCTCCCCTTCCCCAATCTCCCCAATTCCTGAATCCCCAACAATCCTCAAACTCCTAATCCCCAAAAGGCCGGTAACGCACTTGTAACGCCTCTAGTGTTTCAGGTGTCCATGGGCGACGCCGATTGCTTACCATTATTTACCGGCTTATTCCATAAAAAAACTTAAATTTATTTTTATTTGTAAATAGATAGATAATAATAGATATATTACATAGGCAAACAAACGACTCAGTTTGAGGTCTCAATGCATTCTCACAAAACAAAGGTCTTGTAACTCTTCCAGATGATCTAAGAGCTCGTCTGCCGTCCAATCCCAGAAAAAATAATACATAATTATGAACATTAACCTAACATTTTTTTTTTATTTATTCCAGGTACGGTATTTTAAAAGGAATCACATATGCTGCTGTTGTGTCAAATGTAAGTTTTATAACGAAATAGTTATATGACAATAATTTAATATCTACCTCGAATGCAATCTTACTCCCGTTTCCATCCGTCACAATTACATTATTAAAATATTTTGCGATATATTAACGCCATCTACAATCGATTTCTGGTACCTAAACTCTGCTATGTAGTTCGTAATCTTGTCCGATAGATGTCGTTATAACAAAATGTTGTTTACAGGCCTTCGTGATAGCGTACACCAGTGACTTTATACCGCGAATGGTGTACAAATACGTGTATTCTCCTGATAATACTTTGGCTGGATATATTGATCATTCCTTGTCTCGTAAGTATTACATTTTTTTGAGCATATTTGACAAGGTAGAAGAAAGAATCTTTGTTTAGATTCTCTTTAAGAGAAAATATTATTGAAGACTACAGGTTTTTAGCACGATTACTAATAAGTAGGCAAGCGAGGAAGTTCTACATTCGAATTTCAAGGCGGGAAAATTATTATTTCGATTTGGATTTTTGTTTAAATAGTCAAGAACCGTACGTCGTGCGTTCTTTAAATTTGTTTAATAATAATTTAACTCGTCGAGTACCGTCATTATAGACACAATTATAGAACAATAGGTTGCGGTCACCGGTGACCGCTTGGTGTTTGACAGTTTAATTATGTCGCATATTTAACCGACTACTAAGAAAGGAGCTTCTTAGTTAGATATGTATACACATACCAACGTACAAACATAAATACATACATGCGTACGCTGAACCGATTTTGATGCGGTTTTCAGAACAGTGTTTGTTTTATTTAGGATAGTTTTAGTATATTAATTAACCGTCTTCAAAAATAGAGGGGGTTGAAGTCGGTTTTTTTAAACGAAGTTTATGAAAGAATAATTATTATATTATACATACGTCTTCAGTGATTCCCTATTGTAATTGTATTGTTGTGTCCCTTCTCAGTATTCAACACATCAGACTACCAAGAAGATTGGGGGGCTGATGAGAACGAGGTAGACCCTCCAGTATGTGCCTATCGAGGATACAGGAACCCTCCAGACCATGCTGACCCCTACGGCTTATCTCCTCATTATTGGCACGTGTTTGCAGCTCGACTGGCGTTTGTTGTTGTTTTTGAGGTAAGCGCCATCTATTGTTGATTGCAGTGAAACTATTGACGCCATCTGTCGTAGCATTATTTTAATCATAAGAGATAAGATAAGAGTCTTTTTAAATGTTTTAGTAAAAGCATTTGTCTTTCTCCGCAGCACGTAGTCTTCGGCCTAACAGGTTTGATGCAGCTCTTCATACCCGATGTACCGAGTGAGTTACGGACTCAGATGCAAAGGGAGGCTCTTCTGGCTAAAGAAGCGAAGTATGAACATGGACGGAGAAGGTTGTCTACCGAGTACCGTCAATTATTGACGCAGAAGAGCGAGGGTGGATCTGGTAAGTACAGGAAATACATTTTGGGGCAAAAAACGTAGCTATCAGCAGTTTTCCTTGTAAATGTTTCCTTTCATTTCTTGGTAAATATTTTATGATTTAATTGTTGACTTTTCCGAGTTATGTGTACTTTCTAAGACTATTTAGACACCACTAACAAACCATGAAGGAAAACATCGTGGGGAAACCTGGGCTGTAATTACTAATTATAAGTTTGAAATCGCCAACTCACATTGAGCTACGTGGTGATTAATACTTAGAACTTTTTCCATGTTAGAAAAGGCATTTGGTCAGCAGTGGCCGCTTATAGGCTGATATAATTTATAAAGACTTCATAATTATTATATGTGTCGCGGAAAACCTAGCGGGTTACCGGGACTCCGGTTCGAAGCGCGGGAGTAGGAACGGGGTAGTTTTTAGTCAGTAAGAGTCTGACACTCGCTCGCCTCACTCAGGCGGGAGCAGTCATTCGATGATTTTCCCCCACTTAAAAAAAAATATTATATATGCTATACGTTTTCTATTGCAGAAAAGCCTACAGGTGGAGCTTGGCTTCGACGAGCATCCCGAGCTTCAGATGTCCTCGACGCACACATATCAGTTTCCCAAAGACCCACTTCACCTCGAATAGTTCACTGACAAAGGTTTCATTAGTTTTCTAATACTAATTTGGTCAAAATTAAACTAGTTTGATATTTTTGTATTATAAATTATAACTAACGTGATACGTAACATACTATAGTCAGAATTTTAATTAGATTCCAGATTTAACAATAGCTTCTGTCATTTTGTGAAATAATGATACCACATATAATAGTGTAGTGATGAACACAAAAATCGATAAACAATCAGTGTGTGTGTTTTATAATAAATGTTGCAGAAAGTGACAGGATAGCGATAGCGATGACGGCGACAATTTATAAAATAACTTATTACCATAATACGTCTATCTGTTTTATTTGTCATGTTCCTTCATGATTACATTTTTTATTTATTTCACACACAATTATAAAAAAATAGTTCAGATCGTTAATTTAATCGTCAAAACTAAATTATCGGTTCAGAAATATTTAATTTCCTGATATACTTAGTTTACGAGAGTAAAATTATAAACGAGAAGAATCGATCCAGAAATATTGCATTTCCATATCGAATTCCAAACACCCAGGACTCAAATGAATACAATAAGGAAAGTGATCAAAGAATTGGCTATGATCAACCACTACCCAAAAAAAAAGTTGTGGAAAAACCTAAAATATGTATGTTGAGCAGTAATAAAACTAACAAATTGTTGACTATCGCTGAATACACGTTTCAAGATCGGTATAACCTATGCCACTACCTAAAGCCCCATGGAAGTACCGAAGACCTTATTAACGGCTTGGATACAAAACTAAAGAACTATACCATGAGAGACTTCTGTGTCATATTTCTTGGAGAAGAGGACTTTAAAAGAACAAGCAATTATTACAATATAATTTTTCATCTCAGAAATAAATTAGAAACTGTGCAGCATACCAACATTATTATATGTTTGCCAACATATAAATACCCTTTTGACACTAGTTTATTCAACTGTCGAGTAGAGACATTTAATAATCTTCTTAACCTAGATACACTTACTCATGGACATGCATATATTTTAGACAGTAATCTCAATTTAAACTACGATTCTACTATGTTCAAAACTCATTATTCGGGTTCTTTAAATAATCATGGATTGCGTACTATTTTTAAAGATTTATTGGATCTAATAACCGACATTATATATAACATTGACATGGAATATAACCAGAATAAAGAACAGGCCGAGAATGCAACAAACAATAATCTTTTTCGTAACTAACTATTTACATGTCATGCACCAAAACATTGCAGGTTTGTTGACAAAATCAAACATACTTACAGTTTGCCTTCAAGAGCTAATAGAAAAAAATATGCAGGTAGATGTTTTGTTTATTACGGAACACTTCATGATGGTAAATTATGAACATTATCTTAACATTCAAAATTATTGTCTGGCCACTTGCTTCTGCCGGGAACAGAGCAAGAGGGGTGGATCATGTATTCTAGTTAGGAACGGACTTCAATGGAAAGAATTGCCGAAAATAGCTACGATGTCGGTGACTGGTGTGTTCGAATGTTGCGCCATCGAGCTCACTAGTTATAGGATAGGGCTTGTTTGTATATACAGAGTGCCAAATCCTAAAAATTTCTACGAATGTTTGGAGAAACTAGAAATGATATTACGTTCTTTAGCACAAAAAGGCTACCAAAATATACTTCTAGCGGGAGATTTTAATATTGACATTTTAAAAAGAAATAATTACTCTATTGAATTTGAAAATTTGTTGTTGAATTACAATTTAAATCTTGCAATACATCAGCCGACTAGGCTGAAAAGTCAGACTTGCATTGACAACTTTGCGCATAACTTTAACAAGTCATGTACTGCGATGGTGCTGGAGCTGGCACTATCTGACCACACTGCGCAGATACTTAAATGTCCTATTAAGCGACAATATACCTTAAATCAATTTCGTACACTAAAACGGGACTATAGCAGTGAACATATTGGTAAATTTAAATCGTATTTAAGTAGCTTGACATTTTCAGAAATTTGCAATGCTAAAGACGCTAATGAATCCTATAATGCATTTATTGACATATTTTCGTTTTTATATAAGCAGTGTTTTCCAAAAACGCTGATTTCTGTAAAATTATGTAGACAACAGAAATGGATATCTCGAGGCATAAAGAACTGTAGTAAAAAGAAACGCCAATTACTATGGCAGGCCCGATTAAAACCAACTCAAGAAAATAAGGACCGATTTAAGAAATATTCTAAGCTCTACAGAAAAATTATCCAACTAACTCAACGTGCACAAAATAGTCACAAAATAAAGACATCAAAAAACAAGTCGAAAGCAACTTGGCAGATAATAAATCAAAATAAACAGAACATTCCAAAGAACTACATTAACACAATACACGAAAATGGCACAGAAATTACAGACCCTCAACACATCGCAAATTTGTTTAATAACTTCTTTATTGATAAGATTCTTCCAGACACTTATTGTAAGACCAAAGACACAAACAAAATTTTCAATAAAAAAGATTCGATGTTCATGGCTCCGTGTTTATCGCAGGATGTTTTAAAAATTATTTCAAAACTTAACAATACGCATAGCACTGGCCATGATGGTATACAAACAAAAATAATCAAAGCAGTAGCCAAAGAAATCTGTGTGCCGTTGGCTCATATAATTAACCTCAGCATTTTTAAAGGCACATTTCCTGAAGCATTAAAAAAGTCAGTAGTTAAACCGCTACACAAAAAATCTGATAAAGAGTTGAAAGAAAATTACAGACCAATTTCCTTGATATCAATATTTGCCAAAATTTTTGAATCGTATATATACACAGAACTAAATAAATATTTAGAAAAGTATGACATACTCTGCAATGAACAAAAGGGATTTCGAAAACACAAAACCATTAATATGGCTATCTATGACTTCTTATACATAGTTATGACAAATATAGATAGAAATAATCCAGTTTGTGCTATTTTTTGTGACATGACGCAGGCGTTTGATTACGTGCATCATGATACACTGTTAAAAAAGCTGGAAACTTACGGTATTCGAGGAAACATTTTACATCTGTTCCAATCTTATTTATGTGATAGAATTCAGGTTACGGAAATCAATCGAATAAATAGTAAAACCAAAAGGGAAGAAATATTTGTATCTGACGAACGCACTGTCAAGTATGGCGTACCGCAGGGAAGTGTACTAGGACCTTCTCTCTTTACGTTGTATATAAACGACTTTCCCAGATCTATTAGTTATCCCATGACACTATTCGCAGATGATAGTACTATCACAATACCATGCAGCAATAGAAATATGTATGAAAAAGATGTGAATGATACCTTAAATAAGGCAATAGAATGGCTAGATAGCAATAATTTGAAAATTAATATTAATAAAACAGTAATTATACATTTTAACCAACGGGCATTGACATTTCCTAAATTTGACATTGAATATAATAATAATACTATTAACGTTGTTAATACTACAAAGTTTCTAGGTTTAACGATTGACCGTAACTTAAATTGGAAGAATCATATTGAAATTACTTGTAAACGAATTAGTAGTAGTGCATTTGCTCTTTACAGGTTATCTTGGACTGTCAATGAGGATGCTCTGTTGACAGCTTATTATGGACTAATTGAATCCGTTTTAAGATACGGGGTCATTTTCTGGGGCAACGCGACTGATAAAGATATAGTTTTTAAAGCTCAGAAACGATGTATAAGGTCTATGTTCGGATTGAGCGTCAGAGATTCGTGTAAGCCTTATTTCATACGTTATAAAATACTGACATTACCATCAATCTACATATTAGAGGTGGCTTTATTTGTCAAAAATAATCCTCATCTTTTCCCACGTATGGCTGAAATGTTTCCTCGAAATCGACGCGATAATAATAAACTTTGTTTACATTCGTCAAAGACGGCATTTATGCGCAAAAGTGTTATATGCATGGCTCCTATAATTTTTAATAAGATTCCACACAGTTGGAAAGAATTTAATGGTGAATTATTCAAAAAGAAAGTGAAATCATTTCTCGTTGGAAAGGCCTATTATAATGTCGACGATTTTCTAAAAGATATACTTGAATAATGAAAAATTAATAAAATGCAATTGATTTATATAATTTTGACATAACATATTTGACATATTTATTTTTATTAGTTTTTACTGATTGACATTATTGTATATTATACCTTTACTGTTGTTGTTGTAACAGTAATAAGTAGACATAATTTTTTAATTATTATTATTCTATTGTTTTAAATGTAAAATGATGGTTACTCTGACATATTATTATCAATATTCCATCAATGTCTATTATTGAATAAGGTTTCCACATTCGAAAGATGTCGGTTAGTTCGCAATCATTACGAGTGACTACTATATTTGCACGCCATTGTATACGGCAAACATGTCTCGAACTTTTTTCACTACTACCCGCTATCTTACATGCTATTGTTTATTGTATGTACACATGTGTTTGAGCAAATAAACATGATTTGATTTGATTTGATTTGATTTGAATAATTTCGCAACGTCACTATTTAGGACTTGTCATAACGTTGCAACACTGAAATTGTCAAATCTGGAATCGAATTAAAATTCCGAGTATAGAGTGATTGGGTACTTGCCAACTAGTCAAATTCAATACTTTTTTCGAACTGTCAAAAACGACAGTTTCCTATGAATTTTGTACGAGATTGTGTATTGTGACGTCACATTTTTTTAGCGTAAAATACTAAAATTAATGAAATGAAAGTGTGATCGAAATGACTTATTTTTGTTTAAGGAAAGTACCCAATTGGTATGTTAGTCGGCTGAATTCTGGTAACTAGTCGAGTTCATCGTCAAACAGCTACATGATTTAGGGCCGATTTTCATTTTTTCATCATCAGTTATTTTTTAACTGTTGACAGTTTTTAGTATGGAGGAATTGTCAAATATAAAAAGTTATTCCAATCGACATATACTAATGGCCATGCCGTACGCGTATAATCTACAGTAATTTATTGATTTGAAAAGAGTGAGAGAGATGGCCTATGCTTTCGGTCTAGCGCTATCTCTTTCTCGCTCATAACATCTTAACTACGGTACTATTTTGAGAGAGATA